AAGACCAGAAACTTGCAAAAAGGAATATATATAGAGAACAACAAAAAAACAGCTCTTAGAAATTATAAACATGATAGCAGAAATGAAAAATTCAAGAGTAGGGTTCAAATAGCCTGTCGAGGAAATCTCCCAGAAAGAATATTTTAAAGATGAAAAATAGGAACAAAAATATAAGAATATTAAAGTATCATCCCAGGTGATTCATTTGAACAATATAAATTCCAGAGAGAGAGAGAACAAAGAAAATGGAGGAAAATAAATCAACTAAATTCTAGAAAATTTCCCAGAAGAATTTCGGGATTTAAATGGCCTAGCACAATGAATGGAAACACACCCACACCAAAGTACATCAACATGAAATTTCAGACAGCACAGAGATCTTATGAGCTTCTGTGGGAAAAAGAACAAGTCCCATAGAAGGGATGGGAGAAAATAGAATGTCTTTGAACTGCCAAAAGTAACACTGGAAGCTTAATGTCGATGGAATAATGCTTTCAACATGGAGACACTGTCTATCTACTATTCTACACCCAACTGAATTGTTAATTAAGATCTAAAACGTACCTCCCATATATCCCTTCTCAGTAAACTACTACAAGATGTGTTCCACCAAAAAGATGGAATAATTCGAGTAAGAAAATGACCCAGGATACCAGAAAGAGGAGATCCAACACATGATAAAGGTGAATGGAACTCTCAGGATGGTAGTGAAGGTAGATCCAAAGATAATGGCCATGTACCAGGTAAAGAAGGGCGAATGATCCAGATTGGAGTAGGTCACAAGGTTCTAGGAGAGATTTCTTCCATGAGATAAAATTGTAAGAATTCTTGTTATCTGTAAGTCTTGAGAAGATATAAACAATTGGTCGAATCTGAGGTTGAATTCTTAGTGACAAGTATATACTTGCAAACCAAGCAAATGCAAGAGATACTATGATTAGTGCCACGGGGTTGAAAATGCAGGAAAAGAAAATGAATCATGGTTTTCCTACTACATGTTTTAGCTCCGAGTAGCATAGTTATTATAAACACTTACTGATCTAACTACATATCTATATTGAGATGGGAAGTGTGCTTCTATATAGTGAGAGGTCAATAAATAATGACAAAATCGAGAAGCAGCAATACAATTAGACACAAGGCAGTCAATACCCAAACAACCCACTAAGCATTCCAAGTGGCTGCCTCTGAGGTAGAGGAACTGGGGAGGATGAGGCCAGGGGGTAGCTTTCTTTCATAGACTTTGTAGAAGAGCTGACTTCAAACCTCTGCTTTCCAAACTGTGGCTTGCAAACTCCTTAGAGCTGTGCTATCCAACATGTAAATGAAATGTGAAGTCCAGTTCCTCAGTCACACTAACATTTCAAATGCTCAGTAGTCACATATGGCTAGTGGCTACTATGATGGATAGCAGACACAGAACATTGCCAACTTCACAAAGTTCTGCTGGACAGTATTATTTTGCAGGGGCATGAACTCAAATTTGGTCACAACCAGCATTTTTTTTTTACTGGACATGTTCTCATTTGAATTTGGAAAAGTGGATCTCAGCTGTGGCTGCAAATTAGAAGTGCTTGAGTGGTTTTGTGTGTTTTTTAAATTATGGTAAAAATGTACATAACAAAATTTACCACAAATCATTTTTAAGCATACAGTTCAGTGACATTACTTTCACATGTGGTGCAACCACCATCTCAGAACTTTTTCTCATCTTCCCAAACTGAAACTCTATACCCTTTAAACACTAACTCCTCCATTATTCCCAACAACCTGCCCCTAGCAACCACCATCCTTTCTGTTTCTATCAAAATTTGACAACTCTAGGTACTTCATATAAGTGGAATTATACAGTATTTGCCATTTTGTGTCTGGCTTATTTCACTTAGCACAATCTCCCAAAGGTTCTTCCATGTTATAGCATGTATCAGAATTTCCTTTATAAGGCTAAAAAATATTCCATTGTATGTATATGTCATTTTGTTTATCCATGCGTTCATTAATCGGCCTTTTGGGTTGTTTCCACCTCTTGGCTGTTGTTAATAATGCTGCTATGGCTTGTACTACAAAGCAACAATAATCAAAACAGTATAGCATTGGCAGCAAAACAGACACAAAAAACAATAGAATCGAGAACCCAGAAATAAATCCACATAAATATGGAGAGATAATTTTCGACCAAGAAGCCAAAAACATACAATGGAGAAAATAAAGCCTCTTCAATAAATGGTGCAGAGAGAACTGGAAAGCCACATACAAAAGAATGAAACTAGACTGCTATCTGTCACTGTGTACCAAAATTAACTCAAAATGGATCAAAGACCTAAACATAAGACCTGAAACAATAAACTGCACAGAAGAAAAGGTAAGTACTAAACTTATGGACCTTGGGTTCAAAGAGGATTTTATGGATTTGACTTCAAAGACAAGGGAAGGAAAAGCTAAAATAAATGAATGGGACAATATCAAACTAAATAGCTCCTGCACAGCAAAATAAACCATTGACAAAATAAAGAGGCAACCAACTGAATGGGAGAAGAATTTTGCAAACAATACCTCTGATAAGGGGCTAATATCCAAAATATATAAGGAATTCATACAACTCAACAACAAAAAAGCAATTCAATTAAAAAACGGGCAGAGAACCTGAATAGACATTTCTCCAAAGAGGACATACAAATGGCCAATAGACATGTGAAAAGATGCTCAATGTCACTAATCATCAGAGAAATGCAAATGAAAACCACAATGAGATATATCACCTTGCACCAGTTAGAATGGCTATCATCAACATGACAAATAACAAGTGTTGGAGAGGCTGTGGAGAAAAAGGAACCCTCATACACTGTTGATGGGAATGCAGATTGGTGCAGCCACTATAGAAGGCAGTGTGGAGGTTCCTCAAAAAATTGAGGATGGAATTACCATATGACCCAGCAATCCCTCTCTTGGGTATCTACCAAAAAAAATCTGAAAACATTTATCTGTAAAGATATATATATGTGCTCTGATGTTCATTGCCGCTCTATTTATGGTGGCCAAGATATGGAAACAACTAGCGTCCTTCGATAGATGATTGGATCAAGATGTGCTGTATATACACAATGGAATACTATTTTGCCATCAGAAAAGATGAAATAGTGCCATTTGCAACATCATGGATGGATCTTGAGATTATTATGCTAAGCGAAATCAGAGAGAAAAAGTTGAGAACCATATGATTTCACTCATATGTGGGATATAAAACTGAACCCAACAAGGGAACAAGACAAATAAAAACTCAGACACAGACAATAGTGGTTACCAGAGGGTAAGGGGGCGGGGGGTAGTAGATGAGGGTAAAAGGGATCAAATATATGATGGAAGAACTGACTGTGGGTGGTGAACACACAATGTGACATGTAGATGATGCATTACAGAATTACTTGAAATCTATGTAACTTTACTGTCACCGCAATAAACTTTAATTAAATAATGCTGCTATGAACATGGGTGTACAAATACCTATTCGAGTCCCTGCTTTCAATTATTTGGGGGTATATACTCAGAAGCAGAATTGCTGTATCATATGATAATTCTATGTTTAGTTTTTTGAGGAATCACCATACTGTTCTCCACAGCAGTTGAACCATTTTACATTCCTACCAGCAATTCACAAGTGTTCCAATTTCTCCATATTCTCACTAACACATTATTTTCTGGCAGTGGTTGTTGTTTGATAATAGCCATCCTAATGGATATGAAACAGTATCCCATTGTGACAACCAGCATTTAAATGAGATAGAATAGAAAATCAGTCTCATTCATACTGTTTTTTTTCCACATAAACATTGTCATAAAATAGTTTTATATACACATAAGTGTATGTGCACAGCATTGTATATCACAGTAAAAAAAGGATGAATACACTGCTTTCAATTATGTGTGCACAACCCCTATCTTTTAAAAAGAAATAACATGAGAATGACAAACTCCTTGTACCTAGTAGAAGCCTCACTTCTTGTAATGGCATCATCCGCAGCCTCATATCCCCACAGGAAACTTCGGACCTAGAGCATCCTTTAAAAACCAACCAACCAACCTTGGGCTATGAAAATTACAATATGAAAACTAGATGTGGTAGACCTTAGGGTCGATCACATTCCCCATTTCTTCTGCCATTCATCTTTCCCTTTTGGCAAAGGATACCTTTTTTGAAGTCCAGTCTTTTTTTTTTCTTTTTAAATAAAGGAAATTAGAAACTAAGGCTAAGAGGGTGTTACAAGATTTGTCCATGGTTACAAAGCTAACGATCCCATGTCTTCTCACCTCTAAAGCCAGAACTCTTTCCACCAAGTTTTCAGGGGCAGGCAATCCTTTAAGGCCCTGAATGTGACAGCCAATATGTTAAAACAACCTGACTGATGAATATTGTCTGGATACAATGATGATGATAGCTAACATAAGCTTAATGTTTTAAACACTTTATATGGATTAACTCACATTACCTCATAACCATCCCATAAGGTAGACTCTATTATCCGTCAACCCTACTTTTCCAGACTGAGAAATGCAGCTGAGAGATGTTAATTCAGTTGCCCCAAGTCACGCTAGTGAGTGGCAAAGCCAGGAAATGCCTCGTAGATGGAGGCAGTCAGGTTCCAGAGTTCTAACACTATTTTATATATACCTTCATATAACTCAGATATATCTCTCCCTAAATTTTAATTAGCCCAAAGGTAACAGTTACCATTTATTAGAACCTACTAATAATAATTCACACATGACTACGTTTTGTCCCACAATATCAGTGGTTAAATAAAGGGGTTCCACTCTATTACCTACACCAAAGTAATAGGTTTGGGTTCAAATACTCGAGACTACTGGATGGATCTTATACAAGCCAGGTTAACTGCTCAATGCAATTCCATAAACCTAAAGAGATGAGTACTTTTTATTTAAAAGTTTGGCTAATAGTCTTCAAACTTGCAGATTTTATCTCAGTGTATAATTAAGCACAAATGAACTGATAACATGGGTGAATTTATTTTATAAGATTCGAGTGCAAACTTAAAAACAAGAACAAAGCTTTTCATCAAGAATAAACACAAACATCTAAGTAACAATCCTACAATCGTGCATTTTAACAGAAAATACAAATAGGGATACATTCTAATTTGTAACTACATTTCAAAATTAAAATAGATCACTTCAAATCCCAAATACCACACAACTTTAACCTGTTTTCTTCTTATCTCAGAAACATTTGTCATATACTATCAGGAAAATATAGATGAGGATTATTGATCAGTCTTTATGATCAAAGAAACACTACTCTCCTTGGCTTGACTTTTTGAATCATTTATCTGTGTCAGTTCTGAAAAGCCATACAATTATACCTCCACTCTACAAAAAAAAATCAATACATATATCAAGGAGGCAAGATGCTTTCATGTAATTAAAGCAAGTCACGTGTTCAACTTAGAAATGTATATAACTGTAGTACATTTTAAAAATACAACTTTATTTGAATGGCTGACACGAAATAACCACAACAAATGATTTAAACAGGTATAAAAATGTACGATCAAAACCTTTAGGCTCAAATACTTGAAAAGTCACTATGAATATGGAATGCTCTGTTTACACAGACATGTATATTTCCTAATCAAAAATCAGGGGGTAGTGGCATCTCCCTGGTCCCTTAATAATATTTGGATTTTCGCAAAGAATTAGCAGCACCCAACCTTAAGTGTTAATCATGTGTTTCTAAAGGACCTATATAACAGATTAGTTGGCAGTGTTCTAGCTTTTGGGAGATGGGAGTGGGTGGGGGTGCGAATATCTGAATATGCATGCACTCGCACATTTAAAATCACCATTCCAAATGGGAAGAAATATCACATACTGAAAAAGTCTAAGGAAATCATCCTTAAAGGACCAACAGTGGGCCAGGAACAGTAGAAGCTGAATAGTAGTCTACTTGATAACAATGGTTCTTCACTCTTCAAAGGCAAGTTGGGAAGAATGAGAATACCCACATATACATAATTGCAAGGAGAACTTGCCTCAAATTTTACACTGCACAACACTGAACAGAAATCTTTACAAAACCCTTCATTCTTGCTTATAACACCAGATGTTTTTTTCCTTTTTACCACCATATACATAACATTTAAATATTTCCTTATAAATACTTTAGAGCAAAAAGAATGTATTTTGTTGCAGTGGTGGCCCACATCCGTACAAAGCAATATAAGCAACATATATATATACACATATATGTGTGTGTGTCTGAGTGTGTGTATACACACAAATATATAGATAGATAAAGAAAAAGTGCGAAGAGTAACAGTATTAAGTATTTTTGCTTTTTACAGTAACTATGGTTCAAGTGTGAATATTTATCAGGGATATATAATCCCTGTTTAATTAAGGATTCAAAAAGAAGCCCACACACCAAGATACTGCACAAATATCAGTCCCTAATTGAGTAACTTCCTTTCTCCTGAATCTAGCAGTTCCAGTTTCTAAACTCTTCTCACAAACAGGAAAAAAGTGGTAACAGTGTTCTCTTCCCTTTAACTTCCCAAAACTCATCCAAGTTAGTTCATCATTCATAGATTCAAACAAGATATTGAAGAAGTAATTCATCATAATCTGCTTTGCGAAATAAAGCAAAATTAAAGGCTTTCTGGAACATAAACTATTGCTCAAGAGTCAAATCAACAAACCTTAAATTACAGGTATAATTTAATACGAGTACATTTTAAAACAATCCCTGTTATCAAAGGTAAATTCAGAGTCTATATCCTGTGTAAGGGTCATAATTCCAAACATTTATGACTTCCTCACCTTTTCTAACACAGAAAATGCTTCCTGTTAAAATTTGATTAACTTCATATCATTTTACTCTTGGTCTCGGTCTTAAGTTTTGAAAAAAGAAAGGCAATTTTCAGCATTTTTTCAAATGTACTTAAATACTTTTAAGTCATTGAAATAATTACAGTTACTGACTTTAGACCTCCAAGTTCACAAAAGCGGTTCAATTTCCCTTTACATATTTTACTAGATATTTTTTGGTTTGTTTATGTTGTTTTATTCTTACTTCAGGCACTGTAATTATTCACATTACAATGATTCCATGTCTAACCTATGCAGCAATTATGAATTCTAAAATGGTTTCTAAGGTATTATTTGATTCTGTATATAATGATTGAATTTTTCCCTTCAAGATAAATGGTTGGAAGATAATTTTAAAGGCCTTAGCAGTTTTGCTTCGAGTAGTGTTAATACATACTGTCATGCTTAATATTTAAGCTTGTTCTGAACTAGGAAGACAATAGACATGGGAAGCTGCAAATTTCCTCAAACTACATTCTACTCCAACTCCAATTTTTTTTTGTTCAACATTAAATATTTTTCTTATAAAAACAAGTTCATCTTGGGCTAATTTTTAAAAACAGGTTTTTTGCTCTAAAATTAAAAACACAGCTAAAGGGAAATAACTATTCAATTTCAGCTTCACTAGAACTATGCAAAACTAAGTTAAAGTAGACAACAATTATAGACAATTACTTTAATCACTTTTGGTATTTGTTACTACCATGTCTTTAGAATGATATACATTACATTCTAACAGACAGCTAAAAACCACCAGGCAACCTCCTGCACAACTGTAAATAAGAGAGCAGCATTTTATTTGCCCCCATACATTCGCTCAATGTCTTTGAGGTAATGGTTCTTCAGTTCCTTCCTTTTCAGTTTGAAAGCGTCGGTAACCAAACCAGTTTCAGGGGTCCATGGCTCTGGGCTTAATCGAACCTTGATTGGAATTTCAAATCGCTCCAATTTCACTGAAATGAGAAGAGGGGTAGGAGGTAAGTGGGGGGGAGGGTTGGGAAAGTGGGGGAGAATAGCAGAGAATTAATAAAACATGAATTTTGCAGGATTTACCTAGATGACACAGGTGATGAGGCGAACTTAATGATACCACTCACTACCCTACAAGTTCACTTTATATTTCTCAAAGTATGCTTAAATTGTTTCAGTTGGATAATTTTGGTCTATACAGTTTTTATTCTAATGTATATGTAGACATCCTCCTCTTCAGAGTCGTTCTATTTGCTGTTCTCTCTGCCTGGAATGGTCTTCCTCTGGTAGACACATAGCTCACTTCCTTACTTCATCCTTGTGCCCACTCAAATGCCACTTCCTCAGAGAGGACTTTCCTGACCGCTCATGATAAAACACAAGTACCTTTGTCTCTTTATATCTTGTTACACTATGTTTTCTTCAAAAAACTTACCACCCAACATATTAGCTATTTGTCTCCCTTATTAGACTGTAAGCTCCATAAAGCAAGATCTTTATTTCTTCACTGTCATCCATAGGGCTACATTGAGAGCCCTTAATAAACAAATGCATATTAATTCTGCAGAAAATTAAGCCTCTAGACAACTGTTCTTCATAAGCTTTCTTATACATTCAAATTTGAATCAAAAAGGGATTGTGAGTTCCATACTTTCAAATGGTATAAGATGCAGCACATACTGTATTTGAGATAGACAACTCAACACATGTTGAAAGGAATGGCAGAAAATGTAAATTAAGGATATAGAAACTATCAGTATAGTATTCAGTGATTTTTTTTAGTATTCAGTGATTTTAAATTCAATAAATTACACACCATCAAGTTACTTATTATTTATACAAGCTCATCCTTAAAAGTCCATTAACAGTAATGTTAATCTATAGATGAGGTTTATTTTATATGCAATTATTTAAAAGAGCGGGCAATTTTGAAGAAGCAAACATCTGCATGTTTAAAAACTGTTAACAGCCATGTGACTTTAGAAACAACCTGGTTTCAGTGACCAGCACAAGGAACTCAAATTCATGGAAGTTTTTGTTCAAATGCTAGTCTAAGTTTTATGAAAGCTTGGTTGAGTGGTGAGTTTCTCACTAAAATGAGAGAAAAATATAAAGCTGATTATGAAAAATAACCTTTGAGGGCCGGCCAAGTGGCGCGATGGTTAAGAGCTGGCTTGGGATGCCAAAGGGCCCCGGTTCGGATCCCACATATGAGGGCCAGTGACACTGCCCTCTACAGCTAAGATGCTGAACAACAGCTCAACCTGGAGCT